GATTCAGTTGGCCGTGGAACAGTTGAGCAAGACGACATCCCGATCGACTGCACTTAGAGCTGAGCCTCACTCCAGGAAGAAGCGGTACTTCGGCAGACAATCCACAAGCGGGTTGACGAGAGGAGGAGAAAGAAATTCCACTGAACCACCGGAACAGAACAGGCTGGACATCAACCGTCCGAAGGCTATCTCCAGGCACACTTTTCAACACTCGGCAAGCCAGAAGGATGAGGATTGTTGCCCAAGCCCAACGGATGTGGAGCTTCGGAATGCCTGCAATTCCCTCGAAAAATGTGGAAACCCTTTCTCGCACTGGCAGACCTGTTTAGTTACCCCGGCGCTCCTTCCTCTCTAGAAACTCAAAGAACATGTATGGGAACAAATCCCTGTGACTTCGAAAGATTATCTGTCTAAAACCCTTTCTGGGTTACGGTAGCCTTTCGCAAATGCTGAATAAGGCTTCTTGTCCTCCTCCTTGTTAGGAGAGCGCTAAATTTTTGATAAATGCAGTGAGCGCGGGGTGTGGTTCGTCAGGACAACAAGCGGCTTTTTCGCGTTTCGCACGCGAAACATTTTTCGCTGCGGGAACCTCAGGTCCACCGCTGATCATCAGTGAGGTTCCCGCAGCGAAAAATGTTTCGCGCTGCGAAACGCGAAAAAGTCGCTTTCTGTCCTAGTGAACCACACCCGCGAGCGCGATGGCGGAGGGTGGAGCAGTTTAATGACGCCGTTACGGGCAGACGCCTCAGCGCGCTGGGGTGTGGTTACAACACCTCCTAATGCCCTTCCACCAATCACGTCAAATGATGTCAACAAAATTGCTCCGCCCTTCAGACATCGCCTTCAGTGTCTTTAGGTCCTCTTTTCTTAGTTGAAGGCGAGAGAATTTGCCAACTTTGATGACTCAAACAGATTCGTAAAAAAAACTTATCGTGTGCTTTTTCGAAGTCGCCATCCTCATCAGCGACACGAAGGCGTTCGTTGATGCTCCTGATACAGAGCACAGTTCCTCCAATAGTCAGAGGAGTGAGAATGAGAAGACAAGCACAGTCGCTTCCCAAGCTTCTGGCGTGGTCGCCATCTATGAACCACGAGTGAGCGCGGAGGTACGACAGGAATCCACGTTTGCGCCTGGAATTCTCACTCATCAGGCAGGATCAGCTGTTGTATTGACTACTTTTTCCAAAATTTACGACTTCCCCTTTTCTACAAGTCCCGGGGCGCCCACCTCCCCTCACAACCCCACCATTCGACACGCTCCAGCTCGG